ATATAGTAATGATAATGGGATCCGTCTGATAAACTTTGCCATCTCGAAAAACCTGATAATTAAAAGTACGACGTTTAAACATAAGGATATTCATAAATATACTTGGACATCACCGGATTCGCAAACACGAAATCAAATCGATCATGTCTTGATACAACATAGCTGGCAAAGCAGTATAATTAATGTACGGTCTTATCGCGGAGCAGAATGTGGGTCGGATCATGAATTAGTAATCGCGAAACTTCGACAAAAACTTAATATAAAAAAGAGAAAAGAAAACCGTTTCGATTTTGAGAATTTTAATTTGGAAAAATTAAAAAATCCATCAATTAGAAACCAATTCGAGCTAGATGTTAAGAATAGGTTTGAAGCTTTAGAGCTTCCTGACGAGGACCACGAGGATATTGACAAGTTATGGATAGAGATCAGGGATAATATTAAAGCGGTCGGTAACTCGTGTCTAGGAAAAAAGGAAAATAAGAATAACAAACCGTGGTTTGATGAAGATTGCTTAAACATGTGTGAAAAAAGAAAAGCCGCTAAATTAAAAGCTCTAAATAATCCTAGCGAAGACAATCTGGAATACTTCCGAATCTCAAAGAACGAAACGACAAAATTGCTCAAAAATAAAAAAAGGGAGTATCTTAAAAATAAAATAATTGAAATAGAAACTAATAGAATCGAAAATAACGTAAGAGACATGTACAAAGGTATAAACAGATCACGTAAATATGTAGGGCCCGTAACGTCTGGAATTAGGGATGATAATAACAATATTCTGACCGATCCGGTTGACATATTGAATAAGTTTAAGGACCACTTTGACAATATTTTAAATACGGGAAATTATGATCTGTGTCCTCCTTCTGAGTACCAGAGTGCTGAACCGTTAATAGAAGGACCAAGTAAAGAGGAAGTTGAAGTAGCTATCGGAAAATTAAAATCATATAAAGCAGCGGGAATCGATAATATTCCTACTGAACTAATTAAGGCATGCGGGGAAGCTGGAGTTTCTAAAATACATCGGTTGGTTAAAAAGATCTGGGTGAACGAGAAATTACCTGAAGAATGGAAAGAATCTATTCTTATTCCGATTCACAAAAAGGGTCCGAGGACGGATTGTAATAACTATCGAGGAATTTCACTCCTTCCGGTATGTTATAAAATATTCACGTTAATCTTAACCAGTCGAATCACGGAATACGCCGAGGAAATTATCGGAGACTACCAGTGCGGATTTAGACGGAATCGTTCGACAATTGATCAAATATTTTCTTTACGGCAAATATTAGAGAAAAAATTGGAGTATAACGGTATTGTTCACCAGCTGTATATAGATTTTAAAAAGGCTTACGATTCTATTGACCGCCAGAAACTGTATAATATTCTAATCGAGCAGGGGATTCCAAAAAAACTAGTAAATCTAGTCAGGATGTGCTTGACGGAGACACTCAATAAAGTTAGAATCGGTAATAATTTGTCCGAAAAATTTGAGGTTCGTTCGGGCTTAAAACAGGGGGATTCTCTTTCGCCTGTCCTGTTCAATTTGGCATTAGAACATGCCATTAGGGAGGTAATGCGAACCGAGAAAGGGTTGGATCTGGGCGGGACAACATCCGTGCTGGGCTATGCTGATGATCTGGTACTGTTAAGCGAAGACGTTGAAACTATAAAACTAAATACGACAACGTTAATGAAAGCCGGTAAAGAACTAGGACTCGAAATAAACGTGGATAAAACAAAATATATGGTTAGCTGCAAAAATGGCGATACTACTGGTGATATCGATATAGATGGTAATATGTTTGAACAGGTGGATAAATTTAGGTATCTAGGTTCTACGATAACTAGAAAAAACGAAATTGAAGAAGAGATTAAGGTTAGACTGAAGGCGGGGAATGCTTGTTATTTTTCTATGACAAAACTACTTAGTTCGCGCCTCTTGTCCCGAAACTTAAAAATTAGAATCTATAAAACAATTATCTTGCCTACAGTTCTTTATGGATGCGAAACTTGGCCGCTTACATTAAGGGATGAGCAGCGTCTTAAGGTTTTTGAAAATAAAGTATTGCGTAGAATATTCGGACCGAAGAAGGATGAGTTAACCGGAGAGTTCAGACGGTTACACAACGCCGAATTGCGTGAGCTGTATCCGGGTAATATAATTGAGGTAATTTCATCGCGGCGAATCAAATGGGCTTGTAAAGTTGTTGGGCTTAGTAACGAGAGAATTCCTAAAAGGTTAATATTTGCTGTGCCGAATGGTAAGCGTCCGAGGGGTAGACCGAAGCGAAGGTGGGAAGATTGCATTAAAGCCGATCTGAAGGGACTGGGTTTGGACGGCGAACGGTGGAGGGAGGTGTGTAACAAGCGATTGGTGGTGTCGGCATCGAACCTTCGGGTTCGCTAAGCCTTATTATTATTATTATTATTTTTTTTTTTTATGAAATGAACTCATGGTATCTCTTTTACGTTCTTCATTTCTCAAAGTGTATGTTTATGTTGTTCAACCCTTAAATATAATTTTGTTCATAGTTCAAGTGATTCGTTCATAGTTTTAATTGTTTTGTTCATAATTTTAAATGCTCTGTACATAGTTTTTATCTGTATTGTATATAGCTTGTGCACCCAAAGTTTTCTTTACTTTTTATTTTATTTTATCAATTTTATCTATTGTTTCAACGTTCAGGCCAGTAATATTCTATTATTTTGTACATTATTGTTATTCTGAAGGGTCTTAGTCCCAGAATAAAGTTTTTTTTTCTAAAAAAAAAAAAAAAAAAAAAAAAAAAATGCACTTAATGGACAGAAACGCGGTGCCTACAGGTAGTGTTGCCCAAAATCGGTCTCGGTCTTGCACTTTGCAAGATTAAGACCAAGGCCGCCTAACTGTTGCAAGACTAAGACTAGGACTGGTTAAAAAATCGATTTTTTAAATACGAAATATGGCAAAATAGTTACTAATACTTGACATTCTTAGTTACTATATATTAATAATTGGTATAACCAATATACTTTTGCATCTACCTCCTCTTATTTTTCATTCGGGCTTAGTTAGATTTCTCCTATCTAAAAAATTACAGTAATATTTCTATAGTAATAAGCTAATAAGTAACTGCAAGACTGTTGCGAGAGTCTTGCGCAAGACCAAGACCATGATCAAGACTGATTTTGCAAGACCAAGACTCGTGTTGGTCCCGCATTTGGGCAACACTACCTACAGGCCTCTGCCACATCATTCAGTACTCATAAATGGCATAGTTAGAGTACTGTAATAACGTTTATGCTACATTATATCGATTGTTTTAACGAACAAATATTAATGCAATAATTTAATTGTCCTAAAAAATAAAAATATTTCTTTTTTTAAATGTTACTTCCTTTATTCCAAACAGATGTCATTTAAAAAGGCCTCTATTGTAAAAATAATATTATTATAATAATAAAACTTGATTCAAAAATACTTCGTTGAATATCTTGAATTTTTTATTTAAAATTTGCAAATTAATATTTTATTTTTTTATGTTCATTGATTCTTAGAGGTAAGTTAAATTGTATATACTTTTCCGGAACTGAGTCATATTAATACCTGTTTTATAAATTAAAATATATACTTAATCTGGACCACATACAATGAATAGTTGTCGGGGTGTTCAATAAAATTCATATATCACTAAAAATAATTAATTTCATTTTCTTATTTCTTATTTCCTGAGAGCTATTTCCCTTTTGGACAATATTAAGGGGACGATGAAGGTTTATTATGGTTAAGCCCATTTTATCAGCAATAAAGATTATTTTCGAAGCAATTGGCAAGTCATTAGGTCTGGACGAAGTAATCCGAATTGCAGCGCTTACATAGGTGTGTGTGTACAACAAATGTGAAGATATATTTCTCCAATTTTTCAATATATATGTACTCAAGAATTGTAGAAGATTGAATAAGAAATATTGTCGATTGCCAGAGCTATATGGATTGAGAAACTCAAGTTGCACATTGAAATAGCACGTTGGGACTATCTTTACTTTAAGACAGGTTATATATAGAGACATCCATCGTGAAAAGGAAATACCTCTTTATCAGTTTAGCGCCACGCACTTTGGATTGTGCAAATATCTACTCGCCTTTCAGAAAAAATCGTTGTATGTTTTCCTTTCTGATTATTTCAAAGATCTTTTCAAAATTGAATAAACAGGAGGAGACCTACTCCTCTTTCTCGATGGACCTCTCTATAACCTGTTTCAAAATGAATATAGTCTCAACGTGCAACGTAAGTAGCAATCGAAACTAAAATGGTCTTCACCATAATAAACCAACATCGTCCCCTTAATATCATCCAAACTGCCCCAGCATTTGACTCTCCATTAGCAACTCCTTGAAATATTCTCTTCATTTGTGTACTGTATATTCGTTCAGCCATATAATGGATAATGGTCCTTCCCTGATTTATTTACCAACTACTAACAATTAGTTTCGGTTACCAAGAGGAACATACAGCTGCGCCCTTTCCATCTTTCTTTATGCAGAGAGAATAAAGCATTCAATATTAAAATTTCTTATTTTGTTCCTAGGAAATAAGAAAATAAAGAAGAAAACTTTTTTTTTGTAAAAGTTTACTTTACTGATATTGTTTATTAGCTAAGGTACTTATTTTTTAATATTTTTTCATGTTTTATTATTCTCTGACTATCCAGATTTAATAAAAGGCCAATTATGACGAAATTAAGCCAAATGCTGATTCACAGTGAGCAAAAAACTAACTTAAGTCAATGTCGTCAGTCCGCCATCTTTGGATGCCATTTTCGGGCAGTGCGTTCACTTTTTTTTGTAGGAACATTGGTATTTTTTTAAAATAAATAGTTACAAGAAACACGATATGCAATTTATAGGGATGTGGGTGGGAGGAGAGGGGTGCACGGTAGGGAAGTCTGGCCCACAGACCTATAAGACGACCTGTCTAATGAAAGTCTGAATAATATATTTCTTTTCTTTTCACTAGAAACTATCGAAAATACAATATCCATCTACGACTGCTTAAAAGCTATGGATTGTGCAGTTGTTAACAACTTTGTTGACTTCAGTGACTTCTTGTTAGGACACTATGAAGCATTTCAGGTGAGAATAATTTTATACTTGAAATATAATTATAAATTTATATGCCTGATACAACAGCTAACATTATTATGTTTGTATTTTCATTGATATAGATAAATGGTTATTCATTATTGAACTGGATCGTTCCCTCCAAACTCTTGGCTCTTTGCAACCCGTCCAAAGAATCCTTGTCCCCGCTGAATATCAATAGGCTCATTCGCTACTTCCTGCATTACAACGTTGGAGTGGTTGTGAGACTCAACGAAGCTACCTACAGTGCTTTGAGGTGAACCAGCTTTAAAGGAAAACCATTTAGGGTAAGAACTGCGGTTCAATACAAATGATTCTCGATTACGATCGAGGCATAAACCATCAATGTAATTATTTAAAAGGTCTATCTTCTAAGAAGGAATTAATATATAAGTAGTAATTTATTGATGAAAAAAGTAAATTACAACTTCTGAATATTAATTTATTCTCTCCGTTACAAGGTTTTTAACACCTGCAGGAGCATTAAAATAAAACCATAAAAAATGAAATAAGAAATTCAAATTACTATACGTCCTTCTCAGATCGATACTTCTTATTGAAGGATCTATAATGACTTTTTGCAGAGCCCAGAATGAACGTTTTATACTAGAGAACACTAGCGGATCCAGGATTTATTTTTTTGGGGGGGCTTCAGCCCGTAAGTTGTTTTTTTCATAAAAATAACGATAATTACTTAGGAAAAAAGGAAAGAAACTAACTACCTGTATGAAATGGTGTTCAAGTGATTCCTAAAGGCCTTCTAAATGTAATTACACGAACAATAATACTTTAAGAGATACTTTTTAAATATTTTTTTCGATAAAACATGGTGATATTTCACCATTTTGGGGGTGGGCTTCAGCCCGAAAGCCCCTCCCCCTCCCCCCCGTAGATCCGCCCGTGCTAGAGAATATTATTTCTTTGACTTGATTATTTCTTGATTATTTCATTTCTTTGACGCCTTCAGCCAGCATCCAGGATTTTATTTTTGGGTGGGAGGCTTCAGTCTGAATTTTTTTTTATATGTATAACGATAATTAGTTTGAAAGAAAAATACAGAAACTAACTACCTACATTATAAAAGACTACCTCAGTTCTTATCGGTGTCTACAAGGAACATATAAGCCATTATACTTTAAAACGTTTTACTCTACTTCAAACGACGTTTCGAGCTTATCAGCTCATTCTCAATTCATCAACAAAATTTTTATCTACTAAAATCCATTTCTATATTATAATTTCATTGAACAACCATTTGTTGTACACCAAATACAAAAATAGCTATATTCCTCGTCTCATTGTGTTCGCATTTATTGATGCTTTTCATTCCCGAAAACTCGGTTAAAATGTTAAAAAATTGAGGGAAGAGGTAGTACCGAGGTTTCGGGAATGAAAAGCATCAATAAATGCGCAAACAAGGAGACGAGGAATATAGTTATTTTTGTATTTGGTGTACTACAAATTGATGTTCATTGAAATTATAATATAGAAATATATTTTAGTAGATACATTTTTTTTTATGACTTGAGAATGAGCTAATTAGCTCGAAACGTCGTTTAAACTAGAAAAAAAAAATATAAGGGCTTATCTATTCCTTGAAGACACCATTGAGTGCCCTGAAAAGTACTACTTTAGTAGCTCAATATACGCATATCTAAGTGATTTTCGAAATCCTATTAAAAATAAATAAATAAAATGTAATTACACCAACAGTAATACTTTCAGAGTTAATTTTTTAATGTTTTTCGTAATACATTGTATTATATTGTGATTGTTTAAGTGTAGATCACTAACAGTAACAAATATGGACCAATGGAACAAAATTATTTTTCCATTTTTGGAGAAAAGAGCTTCAGACCGAAAGTCTTCCTCCTTCAGATCCGCCAATGTCTTAAGCAAATAGTGATCTTTTCTACCGCAAACTAAGTCACTAGTCAGACATCATTCTCGTCTTGCCTTTTGGAAATTTTGTTAATAAACACAAAAATTGTGATAACTTCAAGACGACTCCATCGAAACATTTGAAAATTACGAGGGATTTGAAGCCTGGTAGACTACACAAAATGGTACATCCCAACCTTTGTTGACAAATTAGAACAAATGAGAGAAAATAAAAATGTTTGAGAAATTTGTCTTTATTTCTATTTTACCAAAGCATAAAATCTAAAACTTATTTCTTCGACTTGCAAGAGCAGTAGTTGAGCTTTCCAGCGTTTTATTGTTATTATATTTGGTGAAAATCCTGAGGAGTTATGAATGCTTTAGTTACCCAGAAGGACATAGCATGGCGGAAATTGTGACAGAAATTTTAGAGAGGGGCACATTTTTAAGGGGTTATAAGTTTTGGAGTGAACCATATTTTGGAGGGATTTCAGTTTGTGTCTGGAGAAATGTGAAGCAAACCATAGGCAGTGTATCTGTTTATAAACTAAAACTTTTATAATTATACTTTCTTTCGAACAATTTTTAAGAATAAGAGGGATATAAAAATTCTTGAGAGGGGAAGAGGGTCTTGCGACAGCGTTAGGAGAGATGAGCATCCCTGTAGTTAACGGCCGAAACAAAAATGCTCCAAAAAATCAAGTACTAAAATCTATATTTTCTATTTCTATAAAAATTCATATTTAAGTGTTTAAAAAAACAAATCTGATTTTTTATAATAAAAATTTACTTGGCCTACTTTGCTGAGAGCGCGTTTTGATTTTTGTAATTTATAACACATTATAACTCATATAATACTACAGGCAATTAATATAAAGAACTAAAACTCACCAAGAAATTGTAGATGTTAGTTTATAATTAAAAAAAATCTTGTGTCTTTAAAATGTACTTCTTCTTCTTCGTTCTTCCTATTTTAATTGATGTCCAGTTTTCCTTGACATCTCTTCTCCTAAAAGATGTCAGGGGACTATGTGCACCTTTCGGCCAACATAAGCGACTTCTGCGTCATTTGTAGGGTTTGTTACCTCGCAGTTGATTTTCTGGTCAGAACCCAGCCGACTCCTAGCGTCTTCGGCTCCATGCCAGTACTGGTAGCAATGCTCCCTACTATACCAGAGATATTTATCGACCTCCGGATCTAGATCCGCCGTCTTCAGTCGAAAGCAGGGTCGCCTCGGGCAGGATGCGCTTCTTCACTGCGGACAGACGATCTTAGCCACCTTGCATCCTGACGATGTTTGAATTGATGGAACATTGGGGGGTTGTTTTGTTCTTTACCCGAATTTTAGAGACAAGACTGTGTGATTGAATTTTTATTGTTATAACTTCACTATAGGCAATATTTTTCTCTTACTCTGCACAAATAAATGAATGTATTGATATATAATAACCTGGAGATTCAAGCAAACCAAAGGTTAAACAACATAAAAATTATTTTTGAAGCATTTTTTTTTACTTCTATGGCCCATTGGAACAAATGGTACATGAGTCTTTTTTATTCACTGCTTTTTATGCAGAATCACTAACAAAAGTTTTGGTGACACTGACCTTCTGTTGTGAGACTAAAGCTAAATGAAGATGCAACACAGGGAAATGAGAAAAATTATAATACATTAGAGCTTGATATATAAATACAAACTCTAGTATATTTATATTAGTAAACAAAATATTTACAATTTTCATGGTTTTATTAATGAAATTCTTTATGGCTATTCATCTACCAAGTTTTAAATTTTAGTACAATATGTTAGTATAAACATTAAAGAGTAAATAAGTACTTTTTTAGGTTTACAGATGTAGGGATCAAACATGTGGACCTTTATTTTGATGATGGCACAGTACCACCATATGAAATTCTTTGCGACTTTCTAAATCTAGTTGAAAATTCAAAACAGGCAGTTGCAGTGCATTGTAGGGTGAGTTATTATTATCAAGAAGATTTAAAGAGAACTAGCTTGGAAAATTTTAAATGTTTTTTCTGTTTCCCTTTTGATTAACTTTCTAAATTATTGAATGTGTCATTTATAATAAACAAACTTTAACTTTAATTTTTCTAACATTTAATAGATAATTAACATAATTAAAATTTGAAAATTAAGAGTTTTACATTTTGGAGAAACTTATTCAATTGCAGTAGTTAATAATTAGACCAGAACACCAAACATCTCAATTTTAAAATAATTAAGATATGAAGTGTAAAATAATAGAACTTTCAATAATAATAATAATGAAGCGGTAATAGTGTTATGAGGGCATTATGCAAGAAAAAATAAGTGGATAAAAGCATCTTTGCTTAGTACAGAAAGATCAATTTGAGTGACTGAGTGCCATGCAGCCTTATCAATATTATTTAAAGCACAACCACCTATTTTGATGAAGTGAAGTAAAACAGTATTCTTGTTTTTTATAATTAACTGGGAGAGTACTCCCCTCCCCATCCAGCTAAGGGTCGACCGACCCCCTTTTACAAATTATACAACTGTTCATTTAATTGTACTACTCATTGCTCAAATTGTATAATTTTAATTTATATGTATTCTGTATTTCAGATTGTATTATTTTTTATCAACATTAAATAAACTGAATTATATTATACATTGTGCCTTTTTGCCAATTTATGTTATTTTATAATTATTCTTATTGAGAAATTGTAACCATAATATTTAACTGGTCCACCTTCATATAAGCCCAACAACAATTTGAGCCTTTTATTTTTAATATTTTCATTGTACATTATATTGTGCTTCCTTTTCTATTACATAATAATTATATCACAATATAATATAAATAATATTATATGTAATATAATAATTAATATATTGTATTCAAGGGGAAATGTATAGATCGAAAAATAACTGCTGTCACCTAGGTAAAATCAAACTACTTCCTCCAGATCAATAAATACCATTTCCCATATAAATATTTAGTATAAAATCTTTATTTTGTATTAGGAAGGTAGGAGGAGGTTACAGGAGCTCAATACATATATAATTAAATGAAGACTCTGTAATTAGTGCTAATTATAGAGGTAATAGGAGAGCTCCTGAAATCTTCTACTCTCGTGATACTAAAATAAAATAGAGCGTACACTAAAAACTTTGTTATAAAATAGAGAAATATATCCACAAAAAAAAAGTCTATAGGATTAATCTGGAACATTATTACAAAAAAAGTTCCTCAGAACTTTTATTTTAAAAACTGCTTTCCTGAAATATTTCACAGAAACTGTTAAAATGGAACTTTTTAAAAATTGTCCATAGGTTTCAACCACTGGATACACTGGTGGATCCAGTATTTAATTGTGTATACATAAAATGATATTTTCTTTGGAAGAAAAAGAAGGAAACTAACTATCTATATGAAATGGTGTTTAAGTGATTCTTGAAGTCCTATTAAATGTAATAACACAAACAATAATAAATTTAGAGCTAATTTTTTTTTATGAGACATGGTTATGTTTTATCATTTTGGGGGGCTTCAGCCCGAAAGCCCTCTCCCCCTCCCGTAGATGTGCCTGATTATGACTGTCCTCTTTACGCCATTATGTTTTGTCTTAATTGAAAAGTTGAATAGTTCATATAAAAAATTTGAACATTTAATGGAAATAATTGAAGGAATAAAACAAATTGAATTCAGGAATTCTTGAATTCACTCCATCTACCATGTATGCCACCACACATTTTAACATTGGAAAATCATTCTCCGAAAGATCAATCAACCATGAGTTAGCAGCTGTGACGATTTTCGGTGAAAAAGTTGATGAACAATGTTATCGAAACTAAAAATTTATATGGATAATTGAAGGGAGGAGATATACTGTGGCCACGCATTCCGATGATCCTAACAGATATGCCATTAGATTTCAAATGTTTACTGTTTTCGATGCAATGCGCTCTTGCAGTAACCATAAACAAAGCACAAGGACAATCACTGCAAGTGTGTGGGTTTGATTTGGAGAATCTGTGTTTCTCCGATAGATGATTGTGTGTGGCCAGCTCACTCATCCGAAAAACCTGTTTTATTCCTGTATGCACCAGAAAGTAAAACAAAAAATATTGTATATCCACAAGCACTCGAATAAATAAATATAATTAAACGAACTTTGAAAATGAATGTTTCGAAAAATAAAAATAAAAATGACACAATGTAAATTGAATTTTATCTTAACGAGTTACCTCCAATTTACTTTCTTCTTAGATCGCAGCAACGCGGGAAAGGTAAGTTATTTATTATAAATAAAATGAAATATGAATTTAATGAACTAAAAATAAATCTCAAAGGACCTACATAAACATAAAATTTTTAAGAAAAATTGCAATTAAACTTTTTTCATCATTTGATGTGTTGTCAATAAAAAGAATGTAAATGCCAAAATTTCCAAAAAATATTGTTGTGCTTATTAATAAATTCATCTCCTAAAATTTTTGTTCCACCTATTAAATTTCATTATTTTGGCTTTAAGCCTCTGTTTCAACATCAATGCATTACTTCATTTTTTAAAAATAATATTTAGGTCAAATTTTAGAAAAAAAATCAGTACTTGCTTAACTATATATTAATGCTTAAAATCTATATATTTTTATTTATTATTATATTATTATTATTATTTTTATGAGTCTGATGTCAGAAACTGTAACAGGCAGGACTGGGTCGAACCGGAAGCTTGATAGCTGCATATTTGATGAAACATTACCGCCTGACCACCAAGGAAGCAGTAGCGTGGCTAAGGATATGCAGGCCTGGAAGTGTAATCAGTCACCAGCAGGCCTGGCTGGATGCCATGCAGTCCCAGCTCTGGGAAAGTGGCAATATTTATAGGTCAATAATTTAAAATATTAATAATTTAGAGGCGTCAGTACTTTAAATTAAATGAAAATCATAATTATCAAAATTATCCATCAGTTATTCTTCTCAAATTGTTATGTTAATTTGGTTTACAGAATGAATCACTCGGGGCTTCAAGAGCGCTTAACAAAACACAAGCTAGGGATATATAGTAAAAACCAAATAAAAGTTAAGAAATCGTCGTATTTGATTAAAAGAAAGGATTCTAGAAGAAATTCTTGAAGTAATTATCTATTTGAATTGATAATAATAATATTAGTTATAAAATTTTAATAATCAATAAATCAAAGATTAATAACTTCATTTGTTCTAAATTGTTTTACATACAGTTGACAATCACATTTGCTTTAGTATTTTATTAGCTTTCAGAAAATAAATCCAAAAAGGATTTAATACAGTTTATTGTTTTGAAGAACATACGTTATAGCCCTTATTTACTTCACAAAACTTTATTTCATTTTTGTATCTTGACGATGTTTCAAACAATTTTTGTCCATTTTCAAGCGAAAATGATATCTATAACATAAATAATATTATTATAAATGTACATAAAAAATTATATACTGTTGTAATATATAGTACTGAATTTGACCACACCTCCAACCAACTCCTCAAATTATAATCGCGGTCAACCATCCACCAATATAAAATTATTTATCAGTACGTCAACAATTAAACAGAAATTTATAAATATCACCTATAATGAATTAGACTTATGCTTACAATTATATAATCCACTAATTTTTTTTAATCTAAAAAAATATAAAAATATTTATTTAAAACGTCATTTTTCAAAGATCGAAAATTTTTTTTCAAAATTAAAAATCTAAAAGAAATACATATAACAAAAGTTTTTATTGTTGATATACAGATATGTAATTTTGTATGTATATTTATAATAATGTTATTTACTTTATAGATATCATTTTGACTTGTAAATGGGCAAAATTGTCCGAAACGTTGTCAAAATAGAAAAATGAAATAAAGTTTTATGAAGTAAATAAGGGTTATAATATATGTTCTTCAAAATAATAAACTTTGTTAAGTAATATATACTCTTGAATAAAATTTGAATAGAAAGGTTTTATGAGAAAGAGCGTTTAAGAAAAATGCTTATTTTAAAGAAAATCATGCCATTGGCGATTAGTTTCATATAGCAATTCTCATATATTTCATTTCTTTCAAATATATGTTTTAACAGTATAAAGTCCTCAGAAACTTTTGTAGTTCGACCAGTCTAAGAAGGAATATTGACCACAAGGATCAATACTGGCTCCTTTACTATACTATATACATTACAATATAAACATGACTTAATTACTTACTCTGAGACTGCAATATACTCAGTTGATACAACAATATTAACAATATACCACCACAATTCCAAACTGGCCTCACTGAATTTACTAAATTTATAAAAATGGTATTCAGTTTGGAAAATCAGATTCAATAACAAGACATATGTCCAAAAGTTTTTATCAACGACAACCAGTTTTTGCTAAGACAGAAACAGCATGTTCATTAGAAGGATCATCTGCGGCCCACATGTCATAATGAAAAGAAAAACCTTAAACGAACAACTCACATTACTACACTTTTTTTCCAAATTGTCAACAATGAAAATTAGAGTGTCACTTGTTATTCCTTGTTAAGAGGACTAGATAGGGAACTCAGAGGAAATTTTATAGGCCACCTTCAAGAATTCTAACATTCCAATGTTATTTCTTATTATGTTAATTTCTGACACTACTACTACCAGTATTATCATTGTATTTAATTATGACAGGCTTCTTATTTCATAGTAATAGTGAAATGTATTAATAAACTTTTTTAATATTATTTAGGTGGCTAATAAATGTACCACATTTTTTTACAGGTTTCAACTAACAAGAAATAAAGAATAAATGTATTAGGTAAGAAAATCAAATGAGCTGTCAAAAATAAAATTAATTAATTTCAGAATTATTCCTGATTATTCAATACTGATAAATTAAACAATTTTGCTTTTTGAAGTATTGAGTACTGACTTCTAACTTCTTTTACAACAACTTTAGTGCATTTGATCTATTTGCTTAAACAACTCAATAAATGTTCACTAGATCTATATTGTTTATATAACAATTAATTTATTCAGCGAAAAATAGAACACTGTTATCCCATTACATTGATAAGAATGGAAAAGAATCAGCAATTAATATGTTATTTTACCACTTCATTCTCTCTAAATATTGTACATTGCAGGCATAGGGGTTGTTGTTAGAAGAGGAGCAAACTGTTAATTGGTCATTTTTGACAACTCAAGGTAGCTACTTATTGGTTGTCCTCCAGTTGTAGTAAGAAGAATATCAAGATTCAAACTCGATGAATAATAAAATATTTGACAAAGTTATTTATTAAACTAATAAATATTAGTTGATTTAGGTAAAAATTAAACCTTCTCGGGTTCTTATCTAAACAAGTTCAGCTATCACATCTCCCAGATATGGGAGTGTTCAATCAAATATTTTTTTCTAACCTTTATTTTAAGAGTGTTGGTGAAGTAAAATTTACTTCAATTCAGAAGAATGGGCTGTAAAACATGTTACTGTGTCTAGGCCTCCTCAATAAATAACTGCCAGGATTCTCTGTCTAATGCCGCTGCCATCCAGTCCTTGTGTCTCTAGCCACACAACCAATGCTCCGAGCTTTGGTCTGCCGACCCTTTTTTTATCTGTGGATGACCTTCAAAAGCAGTTTCCTCATTATTCATCCTTGCCACATCACCTTCCCACCTTAATCTGACTTGCTTAACAACCGAAGCTGTCAGGCACACCTTAGAGATCTTAAATCTCCTTTTTGGTCTTGTTAATAATGATAATAATCTTCTGAATTATTGAAGGAAGTTAGGCGACTGTTCTACATATCATGCATAATAAATATTCAGGACGCAGTCATTATAAAGTTTTTATTTTTGCCGTTTCAACCCAAAACATGTGGGTCATCATCAGGGGCAGTGGGTGGTTTGAGTACTGAAGGTATTCAAGTACTCAATGTCGGCAAAAAGAAAAACTTTATAATGACTGCGTCCTGAATATTTATCACCCATGATAATAATCGTCTGTTAATAATGATAGGTAATATAATATTCACCAAAGAATCTTTCTCACAAACAGCAGAATGTTTAAAATGCTATTTAAAAATGACTCCAGGCTTCATCGAAATATTTCAGTATGATTGAAAAAATAAATAAATTTAAAAAAAAATCAGAATTATTACTTGGATTTTCCACATTTCTGCTGAAAATCGGCCCATTGTTTATACGAACTTTTTGGTAGCACTTGAGGTCTGCTATCTCTCCTATAAACATTTTCCTCTATGTACAGGACACTCAGTATATATATATAAAACCTCATGTTCTTTGAATTAAATTTCTATGTATAATAAATATTATTTCTATGTATATTAAATATTAGTATAAAAATATTATTTCTAGGCAATAATATTTTGGATAATTAATTACACCATGTTTATGCTAATAACACACAATTGATAATAATGAGATATTACTTACTTTAATGAGTTATTACTGATAACTCTGAATAATCACTAAAGTTTTATTGAAAACTATTAAGTAGTTATAGAGAAGAAAGATAGCTTATAAAAAAGATACTATTTTGTAAAATGCATTTACTTGGAGCCAGAGGATTTTAAATTAACACAAGAGTAATTTAGAAAGAATAAATATATATTACTTTTCTTAAGATTTGTTGTTAAAATGCATTAACAAAGTATTAAATTATTTATTTTTCTTACTCATTTGAATCAAAGGAAACAATTACAAGTATTTTTAAATATATGTGCATTGATATTTATAAACTTATAGTTCCTACTACTCTAATTAATTGACATATAACAATATATTGTGTAACATTAGTATATAAAAATTTTTAAAAATATATAAGCAAGCTAATAAACAATCGTTATTTTATGCGAGTAATTTCAATAGAAACAGATGATTTAAATGTAAGAAAAAACTTAGATTCTTGATTCGGGAGGTATGTTGAAGGCACGACATCATAATCTCCAGGAGGAACATTTTCCAAGTCAAGAACAGCAAATCCTGATCTAAAAACAATTATTAGGGGGGAGATATAATAGATGTAACGATGATAAAACAAAAAGTGAAGATTATATCATATTTGATGTAGAAAATAACAAAACAAGTGCAAAAATATCTTTTATTTATTAAATGCTTTTTGATTAAAATAATAATCTACCAAAGGAAATGTATTTGCAAATAGGCAATTAAGATCACTCTAAAAAAATATCAAATTACCAAAGTGCTTCACTAAAATTAATAGAGAAAGTTCATGAACATTTCTATAAACATTTATGATTTTTGTTGGTAACAAGATGATTTTTAAACTGATAATTAAATATTTTTATTTTTACTCATATTTCAATATAATGTTCCATCAATTACACTTTTAAAATATAGTTAATTTCAATAAAAATAATTACCACACTGCTCTTTTTCTCTTTATCTCGGGCTAGAATTTTAAAATTTTAAGGAAATAGCTCTGAAGTTAATTTATATCTTTTTTTTCATACATCTCATCAATCCGGAAAAAGATAATTACATCTCAAAAATTCATAAAATTCTATGTCAGAAGGATTTATTCAGAACAATATTGAGTCAAAAATAGCCAACAAATGTTTTATGATTGCCTTATTGATGAACTCTCTACACTTAGTATTTAATCATTTATATTTCAACTTTAAATGTGATAATCTTTTTCCAGAAAGACGATCTAGTTGATTGTAGAATATTTCTAAAAAAGTAAAAAACTAATATCCTCAGAATGAACATGAAAATTAAATTATATTAATCAAAACAGATTATTACTTCCAACATTCTTACCTAAAATCACCAGTGCTTTTTCTAGAGTAATTATCGGTAACCAGTGGAATGAAGTCAAATCCGATTTGATACTGACGTGGAGCTTTTAAATCAATACATAAGTGAGAGTATGAAACAATATTAAGTCTATATCGTGGGTTATTTGAATAGGTTAAGTGATTATTTGCACAACCTCCAGCAGAGATTCCTCTCCACTCCCCATCAATCTATAAACAAATAAAAACTTCATTTTCTCAAACTATTATTAACAACTTAATTTCGGTGGTTGAGAAAATAGAAAACAATAAAAAACATGGTGGACTGACATAGGTAAAACTCTACTGATATTTAGCTGTCAATTTATTCGGGATTGATATTAATAATGATCAAGTGGTAATAATGGTTCAAGGATCAGCAGACTTTTTTTTTATTGTTATCTATAGCCTTGATATGTTCACTGCACACGAATATTTTTTTTTATCTATTCAAAACCAAATAAAACTAAAGACAGCTTACTTTTTTAATATGCCTAAATGGATCGGTGATCTTTTCTAAACTGAAAGGACAAGTAGCATATGCTCTAAGAGTATAATAGATTGTAACAGACTTCTCATATTGAGATAGGACAAGAGTAAAGTCCCTTTCTGTAGTATCAGCCAACATGATCTTAGTAAGATAATGGGGGCTGTTAATACGAACACCATCTAAATATGGAGGAGGATCATCTGAAAAAAAGATAAAAAAAATTCAAGAAAACTATATTATTTAAGAATATTACTAATTTAACTAATAACATTGCCAATTTATATAAAAATTTAAAATTGAATCATTTATTACAGAATTCCATAAAGAGCACTTTATCAAATGCTCTGCTAACAAAGAAAATCTTCTATCTTCAATATGAATTTAAATTTAAATTTAAAAATATTTGAATATTAGAATGTACATCTCAAACTGGTTGATGCCAATAATTAATTAAAAAATTGTATTATAAATTTCATATACAAATATTTAAATTTTTGCAATAAAGAATTTCTCCAATAAAATATGTTTATATTCCAAAACATATAAGTATGTATTTAAAAAAAGAGAAGCTTACTCTATAATAAACGGAAATTCTCTAAAAATCTTTGTTCATGGCAAATTTATTTATGTCACAAACATCAAATACTATAAAAAATCGCATTTAATATTTATTTTGCCTGAGTCAACTTACGAGGATAATAAACTCTTTTCCCTTTGTTTTTATAGACAAGAATAGTGATATACTCTCGATTATATTTGAAATCTTCAATGTCGACAATATGCCTCGTTAAAAGAATCCATACAGCACCTTTACCATCGCCAACTTGTAGGCGAAATTGAGGGTTGTCGCCAATATTGAAAGTATCCTTAGCAGGCCCTACTCCAGCTGACCAAGATCTTAAAAATTTTAAGTAAAAATCAATTTTGCTTAAACCTACAATTATGATAAAGCTGTTTACAAATAAGACATACTCACTGATGTAAACAGAAGGTGTGAGTAAAAAGCGCAGGATTCCAGTTCAAATAGAATACATCAAAAAAGTTCAAAATGGAATTGTAATCAATCCAAAACACACCGTTATCAAATGATGCAGCACTTTTTGGATCATAATTGAGAGCAGCACACATTTCCCTAGTCCAGTGGAGAGTATCTAATTCAGAATAATTTCCACGCCAGCGTACATGAGACCAAGGGTTCTTCAATTGTAATAATTTTTTGTCCTAGCAAAATTATAAAAAAACATTAACTCAATTATTTGACAAATTACTTTAAATTTAAAAATAAAACAATTATATATATATATATATATATATATATATATATATATATATATATATATATATATATATATATATATATATATATATATACAAAACTATATTTACCAAAAGCAGTAGCATTTAAAATATAAGACAATTAGTTTAAAAATCAACTCAATCTATATTCAATAATCTTACACGATACATTCAAAACATATTATTAGACTCTATTTGTCCCATTTAACGCCAGGAGTTGGGCAATTTTTATATAGATGTTTGAATTGAGAGGTTTTTGGAATTCATCTTTTTCAGTAAGAAGTTTGTGGATGAAAGAAAACAAGGGGATAAAGAAGATTTGGTGAAACAATCTGTTGAAGAAGGTGATCTTAATGAAAGCTAGAAAAAGTAAGAAATAACAAGGCAGCTAGCTGGTGATGATATCAACTGAAATGTTATTAAAATATGACTGACATCAATTATAAAGGCGGTTACTACATATTATCAAGAAGGCATAAGAAAAGAAGATTTCTAATGACTTGGAAAAGAATATCATCATTCAAATTCATGAGAAAGCTTGGTAAGGCATGAAAATTATGGATACATATATCTGTCATCCATAACCCTAACTCCTGAATAGTAGAAAAAAGATTTAACAAGATTAGTATAACAGGAGCTTCAGGAAGACAAGCAGAATTAAGATGGGAGCCAAACCCAAGACAATATTTGCATGCGTAATTGATAAGTTTATTAAAAGAAACAAAAGAATAATCTCAACTACATCTCTCTGGGGCACTTGATAATTTACCATGTATTTTTTTTTTTTTATCCTCCCTACCGTTGCTCACCTTTTAGGATACAATATTAGGGGTTTTCCCAGGTCAGGGAGTAAGGGTTGGGGATTAATGTCTGAGTTAAAATCCTCTCCAGCAACGGGACGATGTCGTAATTATTTTATCAAATTATATCATTGATCAGGTTGCCGGGCTGCGCTATGCATATGTGTTAGCCCGCTCAGCCACCCCGCCCCCAACGTACCCTGGCTGGAACTCTAACAGGGATTGGAAGGTAAAAATGTTCCCATCACTTTTTTTTTATCTTTTTATCCCCTCCTAACCATTTCTAGTAAACAGGATGAGGAAAGGTTTATCTTGCATGTAACTAAACGATCCTAATCAGAGAGGCAAGATTAAGATAAATATGCTATAACACTCTCAGCTTCAAGTTAGTATTAACTTTAAACAGATAATCCCTAGCTTATACCGAAAATATACGGGATTGTCAGTCTCAACGGCAAGTAAAACAGGCAGATAATTTGCTCTTCTCCTGCCAGTCATTGTTGACACTACATAATATTTACATTAATATAATAAATTGTAAAATAATATAATATAATATAAAAATAGCTTTACATTAATCAGCCGGACATCTAATACAGCGTAAGCATGAGTGGGAATGAGGCCAGCTCTTTCTGCTTCTTCATCCGACATCTCACCAGTTGCCACAGTGGCAAGAACATCTCCACGGTGTAATCTAGTGAGCAATATTTTAAAGAGAGAATCTGAGTTGAAGTCAGGGTCTTTTACACGAATCGCAACCCGTTCTGGGATCCAACCAGTAAGGGCATGGAGATCTATATTCTGAAAGAAAATGATTAAATAAACTTTAAAAATTATTTTCAATAAATATTAATAATAATAATAATAATAATAAGGCTTAGCGAACCCGAAGTTTCGATGCCGACACCACCAATCGCTTGTTAAACACCTCCCTCCACCGTTCGCCGTCCAAACCCAGTCCCTTCAGATCGGCTTTAATGCAATCTTCCCACCTTCGCTTCGGTCTACCCCTCGGACGCTTACCATTCGGCATAGCAAATATTAACCTTTTAGGAATTCTCTCGTTACTAAGCCCAACAACTTTACAAGCCCATTTGATTCGCCGCGATGAAATTACCTCAATTATATTACCCGGATACAGCTCACGCAATTCGGCGTTGTGTAACCGTCTGAACTCTCCGGTTAACTCATCCTTCTTCGGTCCGAATATTCTACGCAATACTTTATTTTCAAAAACCTTAAGACGCTGCTCATCCCTTAATGTAAGCGGCCAAGTTTCGCATCCATAAAGGACTGTAGGCAAGATAATTGTTTTATAGATTCTAATTTTTAAGTTTCGGGACAAGAGGCGCGAACTAAGTAGTTTTGTCACAGAAAAATAACAAGCATTCCCCGCCTTCAGTCTAACCTTAATCTCTTCTTCAATTTCGTTTTTTCTAGTTATCGTAGAACCTAGATACCTAAATTTATCTACCTGTTCAAACATATTACCATCTATATCGATATCACCAGTAGTATCGCCATTTTTGCAGCTAACCATATATTTTGTTTTATCCACGTTTATTTCGAGTCCTAGTTCTTTACCGGCTTTCATTAACGTTGTCGTATTTAGTTTTATAGTTTCAACATCTTCGCTTAACAGTACCAGATCATCAGCATAGCCCAGCACGGATGTTGTCCCACCCAGATCCAACCCTTTCTCGGTTCGCATTACCTCCCTAATGGCATGTTCTAATGCCAAATTGAACAGGACAGGCGAAAGAGAATCCCCCTGTTTTAAGCCCGAACGAACCTCAAATTTTTCGGACAAATTATTACCGATTCTAACTATATTGAGTGTCTCCGTCAAGCACATCCTGACTAGATTTACTAGTTTTTTAGGAATCCCCTGCTCGATTAGAATATTATACAGTTTCTGGCAGTCAATAGAATCGTAAGCCTTTTTAAAATCTATATACAGCTGGTGAAAAATACCTTTATACTCCAATTTTTTCTCTAATATTTGCCGTAAAGAAAATATTTGATCAATAGTCGAATGGTTCCGTCTAAATCCGCATTGGTAGTCTCCGATAATTTCCTCGGCGTATTCCGTGATTCGACTGGTTAAGATTAAAGTGAATATTTTATAACATACCGGAAGGAGTGAAATTCCTCGATAGTTATTACAATCCGTCCTCGGACCCTTTTTGTGAATTGGAATAAGAATAGATTCTTTCCATACTATCAATAAATATTAAACCAAATAATACTTAAATTATTTTGCATGGTATTTTAAAAATTATCTTGCTGTATCGAAACATATAAGATATAAATTGAAGTATGCGTGATGGTAAGATATGATAATACATATGAAAGATTTGATCTATATTATCATATAAAACAAAAAAGAAGAAAGATTCAAAGCAAAACAAGTTTTAGAACTGATTATATTGTATTTTTTAATTAAACAGAATGACAATAAAAAGTGTATACAGTTTCAAGAAAAAATTATCAACCATCAGCTTGAACTAAGCAATTTTACAAAACCTACAAACCACATAAAATTCCTCAAATTAACTAGGTATTCAATTGAACTATTTATTAAAACAATATAAAATGTTCATTATGCTAACTAAAATATTCTCACCAACTGCCTAACGTATCAATCACAGGCGGATTTACGGGGAGGGAGGGGAGGGCTTTCAGGCTGAAGCCCCACCAAAATGGTAAAATGTAACTATGTTTTATAGAAAAAAATAATAAAAACTATCTCTTAAATTATTATTGTTCATGTGATTATATTTAATAGGACTTCAAGAATAACTAAGACACCATGTCATATGGGTAGTTAGTTTCTTTCTTTTTATTTTTTAAATTAATTATCGTTATATATATGAAAAAAAACCTTCGGGCTGAAGCCCCCCTCCAAAATAAAATCCTGGATCCGCTAGTGGTATCAATTAAACAGTTTATCTACTTTTTAGATTTATAAAAAAAATTTGTTATCCAATGTTGCAGATTTTCCATTACTTGGCGCCGGTTCGTGAGAATTATCGTGTATCCAACATAGAAAATTGCAATTTTTAAAAAAAGTTGACTCCCAACCGGACTTATTTTAAGGTTGACTATTGCTCTAATGGGTGTTGGCCTAGAGACAGAATTACCTTATATAAAAAAAAAAAATATGTCCGTAGATGTATACATTACAGATAGTAAGTAGTATCGGTATTGTTTTCTTTTTAAAAAGCACTGTTTTAACTCCTTTCTGTTCATTGCCCTTGTTTAATTTAAATGTAATGGCCAGGGCCGTTATTGACAGTCACCGGTGGATAGAAATAGCGACTGTCGTACAGTAGTGCAAAACACCTTATTTTCAGAAAAAAATTCATCCCCCTTAGACATACGACCTCAAAACTCATATAGAGTTAATTTTATATGTATTCTCTTATTCCGAATTGAATGAAACAAAAATTAAATCGATAGCTTTACACATTTTTGTAATTTTAAGAATATTGTTTTAAATTTTGATAAATTCTGAATAAAAATTAATTTGATGATTCAAGTCAATATTACTGGGCAAAAATTTTGAAGATTAGAAAGATTAAAATAAAAACTGACTTAATAAATGTTTAAATATATAGATTTATAATCATTACATAATATGGAACTAAAGGTTCAAGCATAAATATAATTTTTTAAAACTGATATTATCCGTCAAAAGAGTATCTTAATTTTAAAATTGTTAATATTGTTAACGTTATATGATATTTTCACCTAATTAGCTCCTGAAAGTTATTATTATAAAAATAAATATAAAAGATTTAAGCTCTGTTGAGAATTGTGGTTTAACCTTTATTATTCTCATATTTACTTTGTTATTTTTTTTTAAACCTAATAAATTTCCATAAAATTTAGATTGAGGGATAAGGCGATTGTGGAAGGTTTAAGCTTCTCCAATAACTTTAAAACACAAACAGTTATAAGATTTGAGAACCTATTTCAAACTGTGAAAATTAAGATAAAACATTTTACTGAACGAGTTGCCAAAATTTAAAACAAATACTAAATAAATTACCTTTTCGTCTAAGAAAATAAAATTTTACTGATAAAGTGTTTTTGAATTCGATACACATTAAACCACTTAGATAGAATTGTTGAGAAATTTCGGAATCGTTCAAAGTGTAAAACAAGCAGCTTTTTGATAGATTAAATCATGAAATATTTCTATTTGTTACAGAATGAAAGAAATTTTTTTTCTATGAAATTGAATTAGAGAAGATTTCTAGCTCATCAAAATCTAACATCACATTTTGTGACTGCAATGCTATTATCTGTAATAGATCTTCTCTTATTCATATACATGTGATTAAAATACTGTCAAGAAAAAAGTACATAAATAATGTTAAGTAAGGCGAAAAGATGATTGGTTAAATTTCTCAGCAAACAATTTCTTAACTTTACATGAAATGTTTACACAGAAAAATCACTCTTACCTTTAAATAAGAGAATATCAGCAAGCATTTTTTTTCAATGAATTTATGTTTTGAAACGTACTATCGAATGGAATAAGTCCCAGCCTGGAGCTTAGAGGAGCTAGTAGTTTATTTTGCGTTTATGCTCACTTTATGCTTAGATTTTCACATAGTTAAAGCAATGAAAACTAATGAACTGTAAGACTACCAAATTTAATTTTTTAAATATTTATTTGTCCATAACTGAGGCATTTCAAAGACGAAATCAATAACTTCTCTCTTATCAACACCTGAAAATATTTATTCAAGATATTTGTAAATACCGTTCATTGTTTGTAAAACTACTGAAAATTTCTCATTAATTTGTATTTTTAAGGGCTAACTAGGGGGAAACTCGAGAAAATAGTTATTGGACTAGGTTCTAGGGATGTTAAGGAGAAATAATATAGTACAAAGAGTGTGATTGTAACCCATTCATTTTAAGGGGTTTTCCACTTCTGAACCACTGAGCGTCGTCATTATACGTTTATAGCAACGAAGTTTACTAGGTCCCTTAAGGTCGTTATAAACGACATCCACTTTATATTTATATATATATTATATTTTTATTAAATATTATATGTATATTTATATTTATATTAATGCCACTTTGAAAAAAATATTTTGGAAGTAAAAAAATTCCCTGAATTTAACAATTTTTCAGTTTTGAAAACTCCCTGACTTTTCCAGTTCGGTTACCACTCTGTATAAGTTAAATAGTAAAGGTCACCTATTTATTTATTCATTTATTCCCTTCAGTGCCTATAGTCAATACGGGTTTGGTAGAACTCCTCGAACTCATGTGATTGTTCTTGATTTTCAAAATTTCATTGTTTTATATAACCTAACAGTGAGATAAAATAATTGAAAAAAAAAGAATACTATACTATAAGCCAGAAACCTAGCAGCGATCAGGAATAGCCCGTGGTAGAGACCAATTCTCAGGGTACAGATCAAATTATTAACACCCTTCTAAGATTTGGTGAATGATTTTATCTTATTGTAACCAACAACTTTTTTATTTATGAAAATTCTCAGAAATGGGGAGTTTTAAATCTGAAGATTGGCCAACTTTGTATATTTAATGAACTGCAAAAATTCATATACCAACCATACGTTTTCAAATTAAATTGCAAGGTAATTTGATATAAAAATCGAGAAAAAAGGTGGCCTACAAAAATATTGGACCATTTGGCATGACCTCCACCCCAACATTTCATAATAATGAGGTTATATCAGCCAAATGGCCCAATATTTTAGTAAGCCGACTTTATTTTCAAATTTATGATCAAATTATCTTACAATTAAAGTGAAAAATAAACGGTAATTCATGATTTCGTTAATATCTCATTAAATTGATTAATTTAATGAGAAAACACGATATGAATTTTCGAAGATAAAAAAGTTGTAGATTACGATAAGAAGAAGCGATTCACAGAGTTTTAGACGGATGTAAATAATTTGATAAAAATGTGTCTCTACCGCTTACTAGAAAGAATGACTGTAGTGATTAAATGCTCTCATATGCGGAAAAGTATGGAAAGACTGATGTAAAAATATTATGTATAGTTCATAAATAACAATGACTTTCCCAAATATAAACATAACTTATGTTAAACAGGAAATCATAGTATATACTCCATTGACAGCAAACTTAAAATATGGTAATGTTTCATTTACAGATAAAAGTTTAACATATTTTTTTTATTATTTTATTGAAATTTACAACTGTATTGCATGAAAAATACAACAAATCAATGTGGCATTGGTAAGATGATATATACAACATGAAGAGGAACTACTCATTGGTAGAACTCCAATTAAAGTTCCATATTAGAAGGTCCCGAGGCCTCTTCTTTTCAGACTCCTCGGAGGGTTAATTTAACATATTAAGTTTTTTATTATTATTTTTTTTAAACTTACACTATTTGAACCTGGGAAATCATACCCTCCCATTACTTTCATGTAAGCCTTTTCCAAAAGCGAGATCCACATTTCATTCTTCTTCGTTGAAAATGAACTGAGTAATTGGTTATACTTATTAACAGGCAAAGTATCGTCAATAATAACTTTTCTGGTAACTCCATTAAGGTGCAATTTTACCATGTATTTCCCTGTAAGAAATAATTTGTTTTAACAAAATTACTTACTGTAGAAAGGGATCTTGTAATTTTAATAACAATTTATTAAAGCAACAAAAAATTAGTCAGTTGTTGAGGAATCAACAAAGAATAAAAATACTAAAAAGTTAGTTGTTATGGAACACTACTTGAAACTTTAAAACTACTCCCAGGGCTATATATTTATCAAATAAATTAATTATTAAAGAAGAGAGTGAATACTAAACTATTTGGCTGACATTCTATTTATAGGAAGTAAAACAGAACTATATTGCATCTGGTAACATTATAAATTATTTTTATAAAGCAGAAATACAACAAAAAAAAAAAAAAAAAAAAAAAGATCAATACACTTCATTACATACCAAAAGGATTGAAAAGTGGTTCTTTATTTCTTTTACGAGGGTAAATGATTTTGGTTATTAATCGTTTATGAAATCTCATTTCATAGAGAGCTCCTACAGCAAGTGATGCAACAAAAGAACAGTCAGAAACAATCTAAAACACAAGTAATTTTAAAAGTAACTAAACAAAAAAAGATTAAACACCTGACAATAAAATCTTAACATTGACCGATATATCCAACAACTATATGTCTTATATATATCCATCATTAAAGTAAGAGATCAGCATTGAACATAATCCCAAAGGAAAAGTTAATTTGGGAGAGAAGAAAAATATTAAAATGAATATTCTGATAATATTTACTCACAGTCTGTTTAATGGAGAAGCAATCTACTCTCTCCCCAGCAATAAGCACAGGCTCAGAGCATATTTCTTCTGGTCTTGCCCACCGATAAAAATCTCTTTTTTGTTTAGGTGACAGCGCCAATGGACCATCCTTGTCAGTAAAAGGAATCGCATACTGAAATCTAGCACATGTCATCAATAGAAAAGTCCATCAGTTGAATATTAATAATTCATATATATATTTAAAGTCAATATTATATCAATCTGGCGATACAATGAAAACAACATATTTATTTTCACAGTATAAATGCACAAACTACATACTTTTTTACAATAATTTGCTATGAACTTGACCACAAACTATAGCCTAGACTTCAACTCTATTGTACATTTTTATGAAGAGCTAAGAAGCTACATTTGGAGCGGACAAAACCAACAAAAGAGTAGGAATCAAAGGTTACACAAACCAACATTATATTAAAAGTAGTGATTTAAATTTATAATGTCAAAATTAAATTTTAATCTAGTTGTAACAACCCTCCTTATTTTGGTTCCTTCCATAAGCAGACTTTTTTTCATATAAGTGAAAAAGACCAAGATCTGCCAGCTCCTCTTCCTCCTGCTATAATTTGCATCTGTCTGACTTTACTCCTTGTACAGCAGCCCTGAACTTCAGGGCGAAACGTCGGTGAATGTAAAAATAAATAAAATTACTTATTTTTACCATTTTAATTTGCCCGATCATCCCAACCATCCTTCTCTTTAATTTTTTTCATATAAATTTCATTGAAAAGAATAACTTTTGAAGTCACCTTTTGTTACCATACACCAATTGAATGAAAAGAAACATCTGCTTTTTTATTATATTTTTAAAATTGTTGTTTTATAAAGACTAATTCAATTTTTTCTACAAAAAGTTTAAAATATGAGTTTGATCTTGACTTTTATTATAGTATTGACATTGGAAGTACAATGTGAAAATAATAAAAATGTGTTCAGTTGCCAAAAAGCTTGGGGCATTTGAAAGGATTGGAAATTTTTTAACTTGTTAAAAATCTGAATCAGCAGTATTGATTCTGTTGCAAGCAACAAAAAATACAAAATGTTTATCACCAACTCAAACAGGTTTTTGAGTAGACTGACAAAAATGGTGAGAAGACTCCATGTCCTCAATAAACCATTAAATGTAAGCTAAATGTAAATGAAAAGATTGAATAAAATGTTAAGATTATTATAGAGAATAATTGTCTGAGAATAACAGTACTGGTATTGGGTGGGGGGAACTAGTCCGGCATGTGGGCCTGTAGTGGTCCTTTTTGCCAACCCCTGACGGCTACCTTTAAGGTTGCGGCCGCGTACTTGCCAGAGTGGGAATGCCACAATCCATTTCCCGGGGCCGCCGAGAAATGAAAAGTAACCAACCCAGAATCGGGCACTCTGGGACCCATGCCCTAACGTGCTCGGCCATCCCGCCCTCTTAGAATAACAGTAGTTAACAAATAAAATTAAGACATATAAATTGTAAATTTTATGCAAAGCTCTAAAATGATTATGAAGTTTCTTATAAAAAAGAAAAAGGTGGTGTGTGAAACCATTTAGTATGCAAAATCAAATCGAAGCTAATTATGCTATAAATAAAATACATTAAAGGTGATTTCTGTGACAAGATTTAATATCAGACAGATATTTCATCGTATATACTTAGACGATGTATATACAGTTTTAATTCAACAATTAAATAAATAAATAACCAATAAATTTTGGAAAAAATATATTTTACAAACTAGAAATATAATAACTATCACAAAAAATAACAATTACCTTTCATTCAAATCTATGTCCATAAATGGGACAAACTCATGTTTGTTAATCCTAGATGTTGCAAGGAGAACCTTTTTCTCTTCATCTGTATAGGTCATCTTACCACTTACTTTCAATTGTTGGCTGTCAGTTCTGTGAAATGGTTTAGAGGGGACATCTTTGAACAGAAAAACTAGAGCATAAGTAAAATCATGGCACCAACAATAAATATACAAGAGCAATTAAAATAAAAAAGTGTATTTTGTACATAGCGTTGATTCATGTCTCAATATAAAAACAAATTACGAGCATGGTTTCTAATCTAAATTATGATAATGTTGCTTAAGGCAAAATATACATTAATATATTCAGAAAAATTAATGAATACATTTATAAGTTATAGAATCATCAATAGTTTCAGATTCTTGGCATGATTATATAACCAAAAATTTGGTCTTATTTATTTTTTTGTTTTTTAAATATTTGATTTCATATTTAATACAAAAAAAAAAATATATATTTAACAATTGAAAAATGTAAAATAACATTTCTGGATTTATGAACATACTTGTAGACATCCATTTAAGTATACTTGCATTGGTTATGAAAATAAACTACCTGCCTTTTTTTTGTAATATTGGAGAGGTACCAGCATGTTGCACATCTGAAGTGTTTTTAATTCCTTTAAGAACCTCTGCTCTTTCCAGAGCATCCAACATTATGGTTGAGAGTTTATTCTTTAATTCTGAGTCATCTGTTTCCGTTCTCTAATATAAAACAAAGCGCATTAGGGTACAATCCCTTTATCAAACCTGGCTAACCTCTTTACCATTTATTTCATTAATAGAATGGCTCAACTTTCACAAAAAATGTCACTATTTATCACTTATTAAACAAAAATTCACACCAGAATCTACTTTTAAACATTGGGACAGATCCTTTGAGACTGAAATAAGGACCATATATATTTTATGATACAATCAATTTTAGTAATCAATAGAATAGTTTTAAAAACTTCAATCACAAATAAGTGATAATACAAAATTGGAAGTTTTCTTATATCAAATACACTTTTGATGAAAGGTATTCATAAGAAATTACATGTTTATTAAGCAAAAATAGTGAAACTTATTTACAATTGAATAAATTATTGAACAAATTGAATACCAATGATTCTAATGTAGTGTTTAAAATTTTTCTAAGTTAAAATCTGAAAATAAGCAAGAGGCCATTTATCTATAAATATAACAGAAACCAAAAAATAGTCTATCTTTTAAGTTCAGGACTTAGTTGAAGATTTACTAGGAAATTTCAAGCTCCTGAACTATCTGGAAGCTGTAGAACAAGCTATCTACAAATCCCACTTGATATGTTTCCCATACGCAGACAAACGTCTCGAGTTCTTTTATGAAGCACCCATAAAAAAAAATGAAGTTAATGGAATAATTGCAAACAAAATTCAAGGGATATTTCTAAGTTATGCATTCTTATAATTATTAGTATGAACAAGTTCTGTAAAAATATTTAGAATAATATCAACTAACCTAAGCTATTTACAATGGATTATCCCTCAAATAAAAATAAGTAGCCCAGAAATCTTGTAATTTAGCTAATAATTTGCGAATTGGGATTTGTTTAGACAACAATAAACAAGTTTGAAAAAGTTGTTTAATAGATTATTTAACAGTCTGTAACACAGAACATTTAAGTCAAGGATAGTAATGTATAAAATGTTTTAAAAATAAGGAATCTAAAATTGGAAGATATAAAAGTTAATATCCAACAAAAAATTAGGTGGCTAACAAGATACTAAATATTAAAATTCCATTTGTATAAGATTAAAAAATAATTAATTAATTTTATATAATAATGTATAAAATATATTGTAAATATCACGTATTGATTTACAAGCAGATTATAATTAGCTTGAGACTATTGAAAAATTATAGAGACAATACCCATTGGTACTAGATCTCAAGATAGAGCCTGTTTTAAATATGAGGGTAAATCAAAATTTAGGATTACTAAGAGGAATGATTTTGGCTTATATAACTGTTATTACGTCAAAATTGTAGAATCAGTAGATCTTAAAGCTCCTACGCACAGAACACAATATTTCCCATTGATACGATACTGTTTGTCGGTAACACTGTGGATTATCGTGCTCTATGACACTGCTATAATGCAATGGATAGTAATACAACCATATCGCCGCCGACAGGAATATCGCACCATCAAGACATATCGCACTCTGTGTGCAGGAGCCTTAAAGTTGATAATTCACTTCAGTATTCACAGAAACAAAGTAGATATTAAGTTGTGACTACATAAATAATGAAAAAATTCTCCCAAAATTATTGTCTTAAAAATGGATATTATAAGATAGTTAATTATTTATATTTAAAAATAAAAGTATACTTAATATTTGTATTCTGATCAACAGAAGATTTCTGTAATGTGTTACCAGCAATTTTGAAGTGAGAGTCTGCTGTATAAAAACACACAAACGTATATTATATGTTATTTTGAAACATCGTACAGTTTTCATGCCTTAATAATTCCTCTTTTATTATCATAAATAAATAAGATTGTTTCACACAATTAAAAATGATAATTTTATTTATTTCATTTCAATATTCATAGACTTTCATTACAATTTTAGGGCACAGAATCGTATGTTTTTAAGAACTTACTGCTTGCATTGCAAGCTGAATAGCTTGAGTGTATAAATCAACAGCTGCAGATTCATTTTTTGACTCATCAGCATCTAAAGCTTGGCGAAAAAGAAACCTGCATTTGTTCAAGTTAATATGTTCTTTGTTCTGAAACTCTCTCTTTTCAGCTGAAAATAAAATAAAAAATACTCGTTCATTTATTTAATTAATACATTAAACAATATTGTTTATTAAGATTCATTGAATGTTGTAATTTGACATGCATAATGGCACTTATAATAGTAGAACTTAAGAAGTAATTTGCAAAACCAAATTTTCAAATAATCAAATAAATTATCTAAATTTTAGTTTTGATAGAACATGTTAACAGAAACATTTTAAAGATGTTATTCGAATAGAACTATACAACACTTAGTTTTTAAAACAATTCATAAAACTTAACTGAAAAAGTATAATCATTACATGGTTTTTGAATTGTTTCAGCTCTTTCATCATACTCATTAGCTTTCTTTAAGAGTTCTTCACACAAGGGTTCATTAAGTTGTTGTGAAGCCCTACGTAGAAGGCGTGAAGCTTCATGGTAAAAATAAACAGCAGCATCAATACAATTCCTTTTATCAAAATCAATTGCTTTGAGTGCAACATCAGCTGCTTCTTTAGTCAACTCCATTATAATTAAACTCAGTAAAGTTTCTTGAATATATTAATCAAAAGTATACCTAGTAACAAAAAGAAATAAAAAAATTACATAAGTATATTTAAGCATGATAGTATACGTATACAATTCATTTATCAAAAAAATCCTCCACTTTGACGTGGTGGGGAAGCTTGAGCATCACGAGGACCCTGACTATGCCGATGGGGTCACCCATGTTGGACAGGTCTTAGGTGAGCGATCAGATTAAAAGAGGTACCATTCTCCAAGTTGGGGGTACCTGCGCTGGGCCAGTTCTCCAGTCAGGAAAATAACTTGCTAAAAAAAATAATAAACAGCCTCAAATAACTGGATTGATTAACTGGATAAGACTACGGAATCAGAAATGGATTTTAAACTTTGGATGTTGGATCGTTCAGGGAATGGAATGTAAGAAGGATACAATAATGGATGAATTAGAAAAATGTAAAGTGGATGTCGTCATTCTGACCGAAACAAAAAATGGAACTGGGGATGAGAATGTCGAAAATCACATACATATTTGGAGTGGTGTAGAGAAGGGGAAAAGAGCAACGGCGGGTGTCAGCATACTGGTTAAGAAATGGCTTAGAAAATATGTTACTAATTGGGACTTCCTTAATGAATACATTCTTACTTAGGATGTGACGATATATGGAAGGGAAATATATATAATAGGAGCATATGCCCCAACTGATTGTAGTTCTGATGGCGAGGACATATTTTGGGAAGAACTGGAGGATATTATTGAGAAGGTTCCCAAGAGGATGGAAATAGTATTCATGGGTGATCTAAACGGTCGAGTTGGAAAGGATAACAATAGTAAAGTTATTGGAAATTTTGAAGGGGACGTTATCAATGATAATGGGGAAAGGCTAATCCAAATATGTTAAAACTTTGATATAAAGATAAATAATACATTTTTCCAACATCGGAATATCCATAAATATACCAACCAACAAAGAACCTGTACTACATAATAGATTATGTTTTAACAAAGCAGAGTACCTCGATGGTGGTGCATGACGCAAGAACCTATAGAGGAATAGAATGAGGAACCGATCATTACTTCCTTAAAGCAAAAATGAATGACTCATAACCTTTTGGAATAGATAAAAAAGTAAAAAGAAGCATACCTCTCTTGGTTAAGTAACAAAAATAATAACACCCTGGCCATTTATAAAGATATTAAAAAAGAAGTAGTCAAAGAAGTAAGGATCGCTCAAAATGAAGAATGGAACAGACTTTGCGCAAATATTAACAGTCAAATAGAATATAAAAGGTAAACAACTGCATGGGCAAGGCTGAAGAGTATGAGGACTCAGGAAACACACAAGTCAAACCTTAATCTGATCAACATACCCGAATGGAAAAACTATTTTAATGGTTTCATGAATTAAGACAGAGACTCATTCAAGAAAGACTCCAGCTGGGTGTATGTAGGGACAGATATAATTGTTGATGAGGATCAGGTCGAAATTGAACTCAAGCTAGGGAAGAATAATAAAGCACTAGGGCAAGGTGGAATTAATTTTGACCTTTTAAAATATGGAGAGAAAAAAGTGGCAAAACTATTAGCAAATATGTATAATAGAATATTGGATGGTGACCCAATACCAAATTTTGGTATGGTCTTTTCTTTTGAAAAGAAATGAAGCTCGATTACATCAACCCAATCTATAAAAAAGGGAACAGAAAAAAATATAAAACTACAGAGGAATCTGTGTTTCCTTTTGCCAAAATATTAGAGAAACGAATTAGAGCATTGGATTTAACAAATAAAATAATGACTTTTTGATTGAAAATATTCCAAAAACGCTATGTAAAACAAATTGTTATGACAATTCTCATCATGAACACAGATCATCATTTAGATATTTACTGTACATTATTGAAATAAGTCATTAAGATATTTATAACTGATGATTCACATCACATAGTATTCCTCATTTAATTTTCTTAACATATATCCAATTCTTATCATATATGATTCAAGATATTTATAACTGATGATTCAAAATATTATATCATCAATAAAAGTATTCACAATTCATTGAATCCAATAATTTAAAAAATATAGAAACTGGTGCTTCTTTTATCTGGTTAAAGCTGAAACCATAGATAAAATTCTACATATTATATGCCAAACAAAAATCTTTATATACTAAATTAATTTTTTATTATTTTCTTTTTACTAACTTATCAAATACGAAATAAAATTTCTGTATCTCAAACAAAAATGTTCACATTTTAAAAAATGAGTGGGTGGTTTGTGATCATTTTATATAAGAAACAAAATGTTAACCACTTCATGATAATAAAAAAATAAGATAAATTGCTATTTATTCATATTTCATACGTATGTAGGAGCAGGTCAAACCATATGATTTAATTTAATTTGATAAACAATTGATATCATATGTAAATAATATAATGTGTTCAGATGTTTTTATGGTTATAAAATGTAATGTTTTGTGGTTAAAAATAAATTGTGTTGATTAGCAAATCTGTAGCTTTCTTTAAGATATTTATTAAAGATAATCAATCTTAACTTAAGTAATATTAATACAACGACCAGTAATATTACTGGTCTTATATCTTTTATATCTTTAATAAATATCTTAAAGAAAGCTACAGATTTGCTAATCAACACAATTTATTTTTAACCACAAAACATTACATTTTATAACCATAAAAACATTTGAACACATTATATTATTTACATATGATATCGATTGATTATCAAATTAAATTAAATCATATGGTGTGACCTGCTCCTACACGTATATACCACATACCAAAATGTTATTAGTAACTTAATTAAACAATTATGTACAAAGTCTAAAGATAAACAAATTGAAATTAAATATATAATTTGAAAAATTAAAAAAAAATGTTCACCCTTTCGTAAAAAATTAATTTCGATCACGCAAATAAGAAAAAACATTTTGCAATTTCATGATTATTTATGTCTGTAAAAAGTAATTGAATTTTTTTTTATCGACAATGAATTATTTCCAAAGAATCTTCATGATCAATATTTATAATTAAACTGATAGGAATTTTTGAAATAAATGTTATGTATATGTTTTAGATAACATTACTTTAACTATTATGATTAAAAATATAACACCGATAGACCAACCTGCAGGATGCTTTAACGAATAAAACTAAGTTTTCACAACTTTCTAGACTAAGTATTTGACAGCTTTAACTAATGAGGTTTAGGCGTATGTCCATCTACATAAAAGTTCCGAGTTGCCTTTGGAAGTTTAATTTCCATTCCATCAAGTTCCTTGGTTAAAATTATTTGACATCCAAGTCTGGAATTTTCTTTCAAAAATGGTGCTAAATCCAGAAGATCTTCTTCTTTTTCTTCAGCAGGTGTCAGCTTACCAATAAATTTTTGATCAACATAAACATGACAAGTGGTGCAAGCTAAGGATGCTTCACAAGCTCCTTCCATTTCTATTCCATACCTGTGAGCTAAGTATAGTACATTATCACCCACTTTTCCTTTGACTGGTTTCCTATTTCCATTTTTGTCAATATAAACAATACTAACTACCTCTTCTTCAGATTTTGGGTCTTGGTACTCGTAATCCCCGTGAAATAGTAAATGACCAATGTGAAATGACCTAAATGAAAGGCTTATCCTACTTTTTAAATTGCAAAAAACATCATATGTTACACCAAAAGAATTTCGAAATAACTGCATAGCCCATCAATCTGAAGTCCAACTAATTTCGAAGGTTACAGAAGGTAATATACTGATATCAATTTATTAGAGATAAAGATATAATCGATTAATTGAATAATCGATTGTACGTTAAATGTCAATAGAGGTAGTTATCAGACATCTACTTCTTATATCTTTATTTATTATTTCCTTTAGGTGTTTTTTTTTTTCGCTACGCCATATCTTCGTAAATTCTTCATCAAATTCAATTATTTTGTAGATCTTCTCCTTCAGGTTAGAAAAAAAGTCACATACCCCCAACATTTCAGGAAAAAAGTTATAAAGGCAAAGAAACTTTATTTGCTAATAACTCGAAAAGTATATACTTTTTTTTATTGTACCCATGATTATTTGAAATATTACTAAATTTCCTAAAAAAAAAACAAAATCGATTCGGAATTTGTAAATTTGTGGTATCAAAGGAGCAAAGTGGATTTAAATATTTTTTTAAGGAGGAACAGAATTGAGATTTGTATTTCGCACCTCGAAAAACTCTCAAATACGAATTATCATAACAACTGAAAGATAAATTTTCATTTTTGCATCAAATCGAAACGTAGGCTCGCGTACCTCATAGGGAACACATAGGATTTCGACACGAAATCCAAAAAACAACAAAAGTAATTTCCACCTGTCCAATAGAACATTAGCAGGAATGTAGGGCCATATAAACTACACAAAGCAGATCCCCGTAAACAAATTAGAATTGGAGATATAACATAAAAATTTGTGTAGAGTCATAATCCTGAGTAATGAATGTTTTAGTGAACGGCAGGGAAAAATTCTAATGAAAAGTAAAATGGTTAACACGGTAATAACCTCCACACAGTACTACTATATATATCATTTCTCAAAGATATTTTTTTTTGTGACTACACCTTATTTTCCTCGTAAACTCTTCAAAAATTTAGTGATTGAACTCTCATTTTGAAAATCTTGTTCCCATTCAGGAGCGAAAAATAGTCACACATCCTCAAAATTGATGCTCTGAATGATTACTACATTTCCTACAAAACAAAGGGAAAAAATCTAATTCTGACAATTATTAGCTGAGATACAGACTATTGTAATTCATAAACATTTTGGTTTAAAACACGAAGGAAGTTTTATTATTTATTTTTTTTTACAATAACCGAAAAAATAGGAAACGATTCCTTTATTTTATGATAAGTTGAATTATTTTATTTCCTTATTAGTTTTGTCATTTCTTCACTGACCAATATTCTTTGCGAATTTTTCGTACGAGTTTTATATTTTGTTTTAGAATAAAACCGATATTATTCACGAGAATAAAAATATTAAATATTTGAAGAATTCATCACATATCCCCTCTTAGATTAATATATTTTCAAGATTATTTTATATTTTTAATTTCCCAACAATACTGTCATTTGCATTTTTTCCATTGTCATAAATGGCTTGTCGTCCTTGTCTTGCCCAGAGAGCAAAAAAATCGGTTCATTAGTTCCCGAGAAAATCTTGGCACTGACAGACAAACCTATGACTAAAAATGTGTTTTGATGACGGATTCTATCTGAATGACCTCATGAACGCATCGTTTCACTGATATAAGAGAAAAACCGAAATAAGTAAACTTTTTGAATCGTAAATTGAATTTTTCGACTTGAAATCCACAGGTATGAGGTAACTGATTATTATTCCATGTCTTAAGACTGTAAATATTATAAATTGAAAGGATTGTTAGCTATATATATCTATAAGTCCTCTCTATATATACGCTCACAACCTATGTAGGGTCTCTATCTATCCTCTCATCGCCGCCATTTTGTATCCCAGCGGCTGATGAAAAATGCTGGCAGGCGTGGATTTTTTAATCAGGCCTGTGGATATGGTCAATTTATAAGGACAAAACTTAGTATAAACTATGACACCTTTTTTGCCATGGGCTCCAGGACTATAACCGTCCGGTCCTCATGTAAACAATTACCCACGAAACGTGTCACGATCGCAATACTTTATCTAACTATATATTTCATGTATAAGTATAAGAAACGAAAATTATAGATGATACAGCTCATTAACTCAAAAGTAAATTGAAATTAATTTTAATTTCAATATTTCTCCAAACTGTTATCTAATATCAATTTTTTTTTCTCTCCGACCTTCCCTTTTCAGCAATAGGATTTATATTCCGAGCCAGGAGGAAGGACAGGGGATAAATACCAGAATTAAATGTCAACGGTATCACGGTATAATCACGATTCGAACTTGTAATCTTCAGGTTATCAGGTTGGCAGGCAACGCAGGTATTGCAAAACGTCTTAAGCCGATTGGCCACTCCCCCCTCCTACCCGTTTAATCTATTAAATTTATTTATTTTCATCACTTTCCGTTTCATTCTTCGGGTGTGTATTTTAATTATGATTATCCCAGATGCGTAAACTGTGCATGTTATACTATTCCAATAAATTGATGTATTAGAAAAGAATGTTGATCGAAGAAACAATCTTAATATAGAAAAAGAGATCGATTTTAAAATAACAGTTTGTAAATGCGATTAGTTTGTGGTGAGGGCATAGAAAGATACGTCGATAAGGAAAGACCAGCTAAATGCGCACTACCGTAAAATATTCTTACAAAACTCTTAAAGAAATGTTCCAAAATATTTTTCTAACCTCAACATTCTCTGGTGCGTTTCCTTTTGTTTTTACTGGTAACGATCTCTTACTTTCTTATATGTTTCTCCCACTCAGCATCGTATACATAGTCCTCGTAGGTTGTTTAACGCAGTAAAAAAATAAAACTCTTTTGCTCCTGAGTCATTATTGCTCCTGAGTAAATGAAAAGGAGAACTGGGAGGATTTCGGGGAGACATAATTTTATCAATTTGACAGGGATGCCATCTGGTCCTATGGAATAGGTGTGGGATTTCATTACTGCGGTTAATAAGTCAGTCGGGGAAATGTCGGAGAAATAAAAGTCATCATCATTAAATAATGACTCAGGAGCAAAAGAGTTTTATTTTTTTACTTCTATGTATATATATGAGTAAAAAAATAAAACTTTTCCCACATTTTTTGATCCTCAAAATACTGGATTAATATTCTTTACATCAGCCGCCATTCTTACAGGTTGCAAGATCCAATTGGCAATACAGAGGGTTCTACGGGAGGGACGGGCTTTCGGGGTGAAGCCCTCTCCCCCTAAAACAATAAAATATAACGATGTTTTATAGGAAAAAATATTAAAAACTATCTCTTAAAGTATTATTATTCGTGCGATTACATTTAATTGGACTTACGAATCACTTAAACACGACTTGTATATAATTAGTTAATTTCCTTCTTTCTTTTTTTCAAATTAATTATCGTTATATGTATGGAAAAAAATCTTTCGGGCTGAAGGCCCCTTCCAAAAAAATTAAATCCTGGATCCGCCAGTGATTGGCAGCTTCTCATTTTGAAATATGAATGTTATAAATATTAAAAACAAAATTCAATATTTATAAAGGTTATAAATATTCAAACTGCAATAGATAATAAACAATTAACTGTCCTTATACTTCTTAACTTCTCTAAAGCCTTCGATTCCATTATTTTTAATAGTCAAAATCTACTGATAAAATTATTTAAAACTTGACGACATTATAACTTTAAAGAATGACAAATAAAACTATTTTCAACGTTTAAAAACCATTTTCATTTTAGAAGGTATGGAGCATTGAAAAAAAGTGACAACAGATACACTTATTTCCCCTAGATATAGAGAAAAGTTATATATAGCTTGAAAATATAGCTTGATAATATAGCTTGAAAACCGTCGCCTTACCTTTTGCACGGTTTCATGACAATGATGATTAAAGAAGAATAAGCTTAGGATACAAACAGATACCCAAGTTATAGCCAATATTCGGTTATCATTGATATAATAGCCATCGTGAGCAATCAGAATGTAAATTGTAGTTGTGATGAAGGCGAAGCTAGAGCTAGATAAGACGTAGATAGGCAGCTGGGGGGCGTAACACCTGTTGGCGATCTCACAGCAAGCCCCTAATACTTCGTGGCACTGGGCCCATTCCATGGCGGTGGAGTTGCAGAGGGTGTCCTCCAAGGTGGAATAATGGTCTCTAATAGTAGTCAAGATGCTTGTGAACTGGATAATGATCAGATAAAGATTGTAGATCTTCAAATAGAGGAAAATGTTGTACACAGTAAGGTAATAGGACAAGTTATAATCGAGAACGAAAAGCGGGATTAGGGCAAACAAAAACAAGTGAGTTTGTAGAAAGGTGAAGTATCACTGGTCTTAATCACACTTCCCACTACTTTCAGTGCCCGAAACATTTTACATAACTTACTCAAGTTTATCCATAGCCAAAATAGAGAAACAATAGGAACGAACATAGAAACAAAGACAGGAGAGACATAATTTATGGTTAACGAATAAGTGATAAGTTGAATTGACTTGTAGTTGAATCTGTCGATAATGAACCAATTATTGCATCACATACACTGCACTTGCATATTTCAGCTACTGAAGAATGGTGTGAAAATTGGAGAATTAAAATTAACAAACAAAATACATTTATCCTCCACCGTAAATATACAACATCATGTCCTACCATATCCGTTAAAAATATTCCACTGATCCCTGTCGAACAGATCCGCTACCTAGAATTCTTTCTTGACAAATGCCTTACATGGGATCCTCATACTAGACTTAAAAGACGAGAAACTACAAATAGATCACCGACTTCTACAACACTTACTTGACAAACGCTCTAAACTTCCAATATTATACAAAAAAATCATTTACACTACCATTATTAGGCCCATTTGGACATACGGTATTGAGCTTTGAGCTCTACAAAAACATCAAATTCTTCCCGTATCCAATCCTTACTATCCAAAATCCTCCGTATAATCCCAAATGCTCCTTATTATGTAACAAATAAAATTTTCCATAGAAACCTCAAAATTCCTCTTGTGGAAGACTTGGCCCAAACTAGATATTCCTCTTTTAATTCCCAATTCTTTGGTCACCCCAATCCTCTAGATTGTAATATTTCATCC